CAGAAACATTCGCACTAGAGACAGGTGTGTCCATTTAGAGATGAACAAGGAGAATAAAGTGCCATTTGTTCTTTTGAGAATATTTGCCACTAGTAAAGACAATCATTAAAAGAAAAACTTTTAATGATCCCAGCAGTGTATAGCTGCCAACTTGTGCAATAAACAAGAGCTCTGCACCCTCAAAAAAGGCAGTAGAAAAGGGAAGGACCCTCAATTAACTTCAACAGAAATGATGAAATTTCAATAAATTCTCAAAGATCAAAGCATTAAAAAACAGTATAGGAAAAAGTTGGGAAAAAACATGAAAAAGGTCCTCATAGTCGAGCAGGGGCGTGGCGTCACTTCCAGAGAAGGTGGTGCCAAAAACAAATTTATGCACAACGAATAGATTTAGTATTGTCTACTTATTACAGGCCTATAAACTGTACACCTACTATATACGCCCCTCTGTTTTAATTTTAATACTGATACAGGGCCACCCACACACAAAACAATAACTTCCCACAGATCACAAGAAAAGCACACATTCACAGTCAAGAACACACATGCACTATTGCCCTCGGGGGCGTCTTGACATAATGACCCCATTCCCTGATTCACTTGCAGTTCTGGTTTCCAGAAAGCAGACAATAAAACCTATTTTTAGACAGTTCGCAACCATGCCATGTCCAGGCTAACTACCACTCCATCCCCTCCCTATACAGGCGCGCCAAATCCATCTTGGCCCATAGGCCCAACAGTACAATCTCTTAGTGTGATGGGAGTACCTGTTGTAGCATTTTTGGCTGAGTTATGTTCTTGGTGATATCTCTTGTGTCTTCTGTCAAACGTCTGGATGGGGTATGAAAGAAACTTTTTTTGCTATTCTTGGAAAGAAAACCCTGTTTTCAACTGATTGAATAATATAGTTTATGGATCACTTTGAATTATTTTGACCAGACTTCACACCTAAACAATGAACACCCAGAAGGGTTCAGGCAGAGACTGATTCAGGTAGCCACGATCTGGGCTCGGCGCCCTCAGTGACATCCGACATAGGGAACGAAAGACGCAGGAAGACCTAGGCCTAGGGATAGACCCTTGCGACCGGCAATGGGAGGCTTACCCACCCTCCTCCCACTAGCCTAATTATAGACATCTTAACTAAAGACTGGCGTACTTAGGGATGCATACTGAATAAGAGATTTGTTTGAAAAAAATATTGCGATATTTTGTTAATTTTGGAAAATCGTATTCCCTTTTTTGAAAATCCCTTCTCCATTTCACAGGGTAGCGCCATTTGCGCTTAGAGAGCCACGCCACTGTAGTCAACAAACAATAAAATAATGACAAGAGATTCAAAGTGTAACTGAATTTCTTCAACGGTGAGAAGTGCATAGACCCAACAAAAATAGCTAGGCAGAAACAACAGAACAATTAAAAATGTCATGTAGCCATATGACAGGCGTTGTGGCATCTGATGGCTATCGGCGGCTCTGATCAGGTTTTTGTTTGTTTGTTTGGATTTTTTCTCTTGTATTATGCTGTTTTGTTTTGGGAATGACTGTTATGGCTGGCATATTTGAGTCTGTTCATGGCATTTTTTTTTTTTAAGCTCTTTTGATAGATAGTATTTTTGCGTTTGATGGAAATGAAATTTTTGCTGTAGCCAATGTTTTGTTCTTGATGGTTTACATATACCATGTGAGAATTAATTTCCATAAATGTGTTGTATGTGACCATAAATTAGACTTTGTCCATAGCAGTCACCTGTCGATGATGGTCACTTTTGTCTATGATCTTAAGTGACCGTTATGGACTGGTTTGACTGTACTTGTATCGCTGATTAAAAGGCATGTATATTACTCCCTGATGGCTGTATGAAGGAACATGTCAATGCTAAAGGGAATTTTTTTTTGCTTGTATGTGATTCTAGCACTCTACTGAATCAGTACGACCACTAGTTCATGAATTGTGTGTCAAGTTGTTTTGTTTTCTTTGTGCAAATATAATATAAAAATCAAAGTAAAGTTTTTAGAAATGTATTGTTCAAATTTTTACAGTATCTTTGTAAGACTCTCATAAAGCACAATAACTTTTCAAAATTGTGGTATAGATGTTTTTCTTACAATGTCTGTTGTAACTGGCTGCAGGGTGCTTTGAACATTTGTGAGGGTTGAAGACTTTGAGAGAGCAGCTGGTGGAAAGCTCAGAGCTAGCAACAGGTTGTATGGAGCTGTACTTATTTTTGTTACGTTGTAGCTAGTTTTGGTGATTTTGTAAAATATTGTTATGTTATATTGTATATCTATGACTTATTTGTAGGCTTTGTCTCCTTTGTTTTGAAATTGTACTTTGTTCTTTGGTGATGGTGCTTCTTTTTGTTGCTTTATTTTCACAATTCTTTCATCTTGAAAACTTTTTGGCCGGCATCTGTGGTGAAGGGGTTAGGCGCATTGCCATTACTCGCAGGAGAATCGAGAATGATTCCTGAGTGGGGAGAAAATTTTTATTGAGTATTTTGGACTTTCTGCTGGAATGTATCCCACTCAACTTAAGTTGGCCCTGATAGCAGTGACGGGCAGGGTTGGAAGCCCGCCTTCTAAATATCTAAATTGTGTTGATGGGGTCGTTATAAGCAACAACATTTCAAATGTTAAAAATCCAAATATTTACGAAAGCCTTTTAGCTCTCGCCATTCTCTTTTTTTTTTATTGGCGTCTTTGTGGATATTGAAAATATACGTTGTTTGATGTGGATGATCCAGTGTAGCCAATGAACTACAATCTGTATTTACTCAAAACAATGTTGCCTGTGTGTCAGCGGTTGACCCGTGCTCTGATATGGTTTGCTCCTTGATATTTGGTGTCAGCTATTATCTTTTTTGTGTTCACAATATTGATGTTGAAATGCTCAGTGAAAGAGAGGAGTGAACTATGAACAAATGTTGCTGCTTTCCATATTACTCTGTCCAAAAATAATTACTGTGACTGTTGAGCCCTGTGTCATTGTGAGCATATTTTATATTTTTGACTCTTTGTGAAATTCCTTGAATTCTCCTGGTCTTGTTTTTTTTCTTTTTTTTTTCAATGTTTTTATACTGTTTGCATTTAAAAATAAAATCCAGCTAAGTATTCGTTTTAATTCTCTCTATTTTCGAAATAAATAGTACATATGTTATGAAGATGCACGCACAAATGAAATTTTTGTGCCAAGTCATTGTATAATGTGCTTGATGGCATTTGGTATTGTGCTTTTATTCTTAATTCGGGTAGCCAGTCTGTGAGCCCGTATTTTTGTGCCAGTGTGTTAGCTCTCCTGCTGTTCAGGCAGACTCACAGTAGTTTTTAAATTTCATGTTTTGAAAAATGTTTTCTGACTACAGATTGTTTTCAATTTCTTTTGCTATCAGTTTAAATCTGTAATCACCAGCAGGGAAGAATGCCAAAAATTTTCTCTAGAATGATTTGAGTGATTGGAGGGTGAAACTGGTTGTTCTTCCTTTGCTATTGTACTGAGGTCAGCAGTAGAGTGTTGTTATTATTGGTTGTCACGTAAGATGTGGGCAGCGGCAACGAGCTCACTCCACAGGACACTCGCACATCATTGGGTAAGTGCTGTACCCAGTTACCCCCCCACCCCTTTTGTAGGTAGCACCTACTAGGCGATTAGCCCAGCTGTTTTTCGCATTGACTGAACTCACACATTCAGTCTGAGAATCAGTCGGGCAGAAAACTTTTGAAGGAGCAGGTTTTGAGGTTGACTTGTCTCGAAAATGAGTGATAGTGATCATACTAAACAGAGACTGCTATGGATAGGTAAAAAATATAGGAAAAACATAAGTGTGTCATGGAACAGTGGCTGTAAGTACAGGAGACCGCTATGCAAATGTGACAACTAAAATAGTATATAACAAAGATATATCCAAGCCTTCTATGCCTAAAAGCACATTTGGATAAAATCATAGGGCATAGAAGAATATCCTTACACTGTTTTCTTCTTTCTACAGCATCTACAACTACCAAATCATGGTGTTTCATAAAAGATAATATCTTACCAATGAGGCTAAACAATAACAAGTAAGAAAGACAAAGATCATAGGAAAAGCAAACTGTGAATTAATTATCTAAACTGTTGAAGATATATGCACAGCGAGGCAAATACATGAGATACCACATAAGGCAATACAAAATGCACATCGATATGGATGATCTCAGTGCTGGTGATCAAAGATAGCAAAGACAGTAAGCAATGTTCAGTCATCAATATTGGTAGGTAAACATTTACTCCTTGATACACCATCAACAAAATGAATGAAATGCATCAGCGCAAAGAAACATTTGTCCAGTGTACAAGTCCCTTTTTGGATCTACTTCTCTACCAACTGGCAAGTTTAACAGGACTAGAATTAATTCATGCATTTGTCTAGCACTCTGCAAAAGGGGAAATACTAACATCCAAAAGAAAAACAAAAGCAAACCATCAGATTATGTTAATAAAATGCATCTCAGGTACTACAGAATCTAGAAGCTCACAATTACAACATTTCTATTTGACAGTGTTGAATCTTTCTAACGCTCAAATTTGAGAAAAACGTCCAATTCAGAAAGGAATTTGAAGTAAGGTTTAACATAAGCTGTTCCTTTGCATTTGGCTGTCAACTACAAGATATCAGTATCATCAAATAGGCACCAAGCTAAAAATACACATTTTGTAACTCAACATTTCCATTAGATCATTTAGTTTTAGTAAGAGTTTTACAACACTTGAAACACAATAAGGTCATAAAAGTGTTAAAAAATAGAGGTGTGACAAGGGAGGCTCTCGTGGCCAAGAGGTTAAGGTGTTCACCTCTCATTCAAAGGTCCCGGGTTCGAATCCGGGTAGCGACCGAAAAATTTACTTCTCTAAAATTGTCTCCTTTCACCTCTTTTCCTGCTCTCTTGCAATTTTCTGTCATCTGCTTTTGTCTCCACTTTCTTCCCCTACCCCCTCACCTCCTTTGCCCCCTCCTCTGGAGGAGGAGAGATAAGGATGATAGAGGTTTGATAAGAAAGAAGGAACAAACCATATCAGAGCACCCGCCAACCACTCATTCCACATCAGATCAAGTGCAGTAATCAAACACTAGGATGTCATTCCTACACACCACCCACAGCCTCATGTCTGGTCCCATGGCTACAAGCCTTGGGTATGACAAGCCTGGCAAGTCATCTGACTTGGTCAGTAGAGGCTGCATGATGTACTTGAGTGTGTTGGGGTCTCTGACAAGACGGACAACTGATTGGTTGTCTGGATCAGTCACAATGATGCGGCCATAACTGTCGTAGCACAGTCCGTGAGGCTTGAACACAGAGCTGCTCTCATCCATCATCGTGGGCAGACGGTAATTCATTCTGAAACAAAGTGGACCTTTATTATGATCAAATGAGTTCAGAGACAGAATGGGCATTCTCAATAAATGCAAGTAAAATTATCCTGGAGACAAACTTGAAAAAAGCAAGATATAAAGAAAAAGACATGCACTTCCTTTTAGTTTTAGTTTTAGTAAAAATTTTACAGCATTTGCAATACAAATAAGTCATATTAGTGCCAAGGATTACGGGTGTTACAAGAGAGTAACAAACACAAAAAAGAAGGAGGAGAAAACAGGACAACAGATGTTTGAAAGAAAAGAAGGAGCAAACCACAGCAGCGCACCCACCAACCACCCATAGATATGCACTTCTAGTAAGAATGAAAATCAAAAGTACCAAATTCTCCCAGCCATAGTCTATATTCGGGCGTGACTATGAAGAACACAACAGATCAAGCACAAAAGGAACTTTCTCTCTTGTGGAACTTTTTTGGAAGCAGAAAAGGACATCATCACTTAGCTCACAACGAAAGTTTAGCATGCACATAAATGATTGTTTACAGTATATTGAAAGTTTTCTGACCCATCAAGGGGCCAATATTGTTTTGAAGAACAGGTTTTAGGGTGGGTTTTTATTTAAAGATATGGGACCCTAGAGGAAAAGAAAATATTCAATTGAGGACTATTAAGGTCCCAAAAAAGAAAAAAAGAAAAGAAACGCCATCAAGAAATTCCATTAAAGTCTTTTCACTAGTTTTGCTCTTCAAGTTGGCACGAAAGAAAGATGTGGAAATCTTCAAAGATTCACCAAGATAAGATAAGAGGAGTCTTAATTGTCAAGAAGCTGGCACATGGCGCATTTGTTTGGTGTTTCTCTCTCTCTCTCTCTCTCTCTCTCACACATACACACACACACATATACACAAACACATGCATTTGTAACATACAAATGAAAGTATTACAGTATGTTAGGACTCATATATAGACCCACAGTCACATGCATACAATAAATGAACACTTACTGTTAACAATTGATAGCAACCCCTATGATATTTTGAAAACAAGCTTTAAAGGAATACTCATATTACAAGATGATTAACTTAAGATGTTCAATGATTGATATAACATGATAAATCATTCTGCACACAGAGAGCCACCACGGTCATCCGTCATTGGCTTGCTGATCAGATGTAGATCTATTAAGTCCAAAATTTAGATAATGTTTCCTTTATAATAAATTATAACTGTTTCTTAATCTGATCTGTGGTATCAGTTGCATGTCTTTGAGAAACATTGAGGTTCAGTAGTGTACAGGTGATCACGTTTTTATACATCAGAATACCGATTATGTATAAGGAATAATAGGTACATAACGTAGGTCAAAAGAATGAAACAGTTTTTCCCTCCTGAAAAATTTTGCTTTACGGGTTTAGGACAGTCGAACAGCTTGCCGGCGACATATTTAAGATTTTCCTAGTTCGAACTGAGACTTATTCCCCCATATGAACTGAGCAAAATTCATAGCTTTTGTAATGCTGATAGGCTATGGAAAGAAACAAAAAAAATGTCTTTGATACTATACTTGTGCTACATAAAGCTATGCCAGCACATTCTTTTAGCGGGCCACAAAGGCAATGGTTGTACTTCAAAATGACTTTTCTTTATCTTTTTCAAGGGCATTTGATTACAACTTCCATATATTGCATTTTCTCAAAAACATATGAGTATGATTCTACAGTCAATCAGTAGGCTACCTTGATAACCTTCTTTAAGTAAAAAAAATAATGCTCCGAATTCACAATCTTGAAGTTCAAACAAGGATAGCTGCATGCTAAAGAAAGCAGAGGACAATGAGGTTGGCTGATTGATTTTCGGGCACAAAATGAGACTGCTCTAAAGAAAATTGTTCTCAGACAGAGAAGAAATATGTATCTTACTCATAACAAATCCACTGTATAATTCATTATAATTCTATACTCATAAAAAAGCTTGTCTTTGTTGTTTTACAGATTACAAAAACATAAAAAGAGAAAATGTAATCTATTTTACTAATATATGCTTAAAAAAGTTTACAATTGACGGTACCCATTGAAGGCAAAAGACCTGTATGTAAGTGTGTATCTCTTATTAATCATTACATCTTATGGTGTGAGGCCTATTCCAAAAGCAAGCTTTTATTTTATAGATATAAATTTTGTACATACCTACAGAAGCATGATTTCTATTCAAAATAAAAACCATTGACGTCAATGCACTTTTCGACTGATGTAGCCAGCATTCAAATGCAGTGACCATGTCTGCTTTGGCCAGAGGCCTCAGCGCAGCATTTGCTTTGAGCACAATTTCTTCTTCATTTTCAAACCATTGTTCCTTACTCCTGCCCTGCTTAGATTTTAGGTAAGAAATGAAAGAACCATAGAATAAAGGACATATTCTTTTAAAAGAATCATAGCAGGTGATAAAACATGCGTATTTGTGGGATCTCGAACTGAAAAGACAGCCAGCAGAATAGAGAAACCCAGGATCATCACAACCCCAGAAAGCTTGAAGCAAGCAAGGTGTTTTGAAAATGGTGCACATCATGTTTTTCAGTGTGGTTTTTTTCTGGCTTGTTCCCATTGGCACAACAGTCAACACTGACTATTACAAATAAAGATGGTTCTTCAAACAAAGCCGAGACCAGCAATCAGAAGAAAGTGGACATGTCTGCTGGAGCAAAGTGTTGTCTTCCTCAATGACAACTCCCCTGTGCACACTGCTTGAAAGGTTACCAAACTCCTGGACTCCTGGCAGTGGGAATCCTTGAACATTCCTGTTATTCCCACAGACTTAGCACCATGTGACTTTCCAAAAGAAAGACTACAGGGGAAGTGATTTGAAGACAAAGAGGAAAATCTGCTTGAAATAAATGCTGGCTGAAGCATACATGGTAACTGCATTTGACTGCAGGCTACATCAGATGAAAAAGTGCACTGAGATCAACAGTTATTATGTTAAATATGAAACATATTTTTGTAGGTATGAATAAAATTTCATGTCTGTCAAATAAAAATTGTTGATTGTAAAGAAGAGGGAAATTCATTTCTGAGACAGATCTTTTTTTTTAATGAATTATATGTGTCACGATGCTGTGGAAGCAGGTGCTGGTCAATTTTTTTACATATAAATACATAGTTTTTTGTATCATCTTAAAACTTGTCCTTTTGTCTTGCTTTTGATGAAAAAAATACCTATCTATCCTGAATAGAAGTCAAGATATTTGCCATTGAAGGAGGTGGGGGTCACCTGTTGTCAGAAGTAAAATTAACGAGAAAATGGCCACGGAAGTTTAATGACTTCTGAAGCTTGAGTGTCTATGGAAACTGCAAATTTATATTTTTGTCTGCCTTTTATACATGTCTTTTAGTAAAATCCAAACAGAAATGTGTTTTTGAATGGACCTAAAAAGTGTTAAAACAGATCAGTTTCTTTGATTTCATTATTATGATGAGAGCCTGATTTCACCACCATGCCTCACATATACCAGTGATGAGAAAATGAGAAAAAACCAAGCAATTTGTAAAAACTTTATCATTTACACAAATTAAAGGGAATTTTCAAATCAGTGCCTTCAAATTATGCATTGCAAACACACAATTTCGAAAAAGTTTTTACGTTACACAAATTTGTCAGTGATTTGTTTCCGAGAGAGAAAGGAAAATGTTTGACCCACCTGTCTTTGATATCAAGGTTTTCGTTAAGAACGATCACAGAGCTGCCTTCGGTGTCAGCGACACAAATATCTCCGTCATCATTCACAGCCACAAAACTGGTTTGCCAGAGGCAGAAGATAAAAATAGAAATGTAAAATATGCATTAAAAAAAATAAAATCACCAGTGTCACCGAGAGCAGAAATCACAATAGTATAGTATGTTGTTTTAGAAAGGTTTTACTGCGCTCGCAACTGCATAAGGTCATATGAGCGCCATAATAGTATAGTAATTTCCTCTTTCGTTCACTATGCATGGCGATACCAAAGAGAATTATCCAAGATAGAATCAAAGAAGGGAGTGTTTATTTGGGCTACATATAGCTCTAATAGGCAGACATCCCCCCCCCCCCCCAAAAGGGGAAAAAAATTTGATTTTTAAAAATTTTAAACATATTCGGGCTACCTTTTCTCAGAATTATAATTGATCTCTAGAACTGAAGAGTTAGTTTCGCTCTCCCAGTTCGGCATCTTTGTCGCTCAGATTAGTAGTTTTATCTCTGCCCTCAATGACAATATACTACTACCAGTGTTAAAGTTATAGACTATAATCTAATATAATAGATAATGGGGAAAAAAGATTGGCAATCTCCAGTTTCGGCCCTGAGAGCAGTGGAATAACAGTAGTAACTTTATATGGGTTACGGGTAGAGTTAGGGGTCGTAAGGGTGTAGAGTTAGGACTTAAGTAATCGTTGAGGCTGAGGCCAAAGCTGAATTATCACAAAAGACTTGAGAACGCCTGTGAATTTTAGTTTTAAGTGGATGCATAATCCTCCTAGATCTCGGTGAGTTTTTAAATTTTTGTAAGAGTCTTATGGCACTTGCAACACAATAAGGTCATATAAATGTCGAAGAATAGATGTGTTATAAGAGAGTAACATACACAAAAAAGAAAGAGGAGAGATAAGGACGATAGATGTTTGATAGGAAAAAAGGAGCAGACCACACCAGAGCACCCACCAACCACCCACAGATCTCTGTGATCAGTTGGATCTCGATCAGTGCCAGGTGTTGAAGCTTCAATCGATTCACTTTGTCAAAGTTGGCTTTCAATAGCCTCTGCCTAGATTCTACCACACACTACAAGTACAGTATCTTTCTCATTCAGTTTTGACTAGTTTTTGTCTTTGTGCTTAGCAACTGCATACTAATGGATAAATTATAGACATATACTCTGAAAAACTAACCTAAGAAACCCTGTGACTTTATGTTTACATTGGTAGGGCCTATTATACATACTTCTAGATCTATGTAATTGGTAGGATCTAGATTCTCTGTGATCTGTTGAGACTTTCCTTCAATTCATTTCACCACATTCGACATTAAGTAGGTCTAAAACAGAACTGCTAAAAAGAGTCTAAGACAAGGCAAACTATAACAAGATTACAGGCATAGAGTAGCAGCCTATAATATGCCTTGTCCGAGACGAACTTATAGGATAAGCAAGTCTCGGCCTTGTCGGTTCGGGAGGGAGGGGGGGGGGGGGGCTGTTTGGTTATATCAGAGAGTATAGCCCAAAAAAGCTTACCTGGGGGCAGTTACCTCATTAGTGTTGTATATATAGTAAGGCACGTTTCTATTCAAGATATAGATCATGGGAACGAAGTTTATGAACATGTCGACATTCTACCCACACCCCAGAGCTATTAATAGTACTGCCATACAGAAACTCAATTTCATATTGTAACTGTTGCATACCGCAAGAAAGAAAACAAGGAGTAGAATGAGTTAGAAAATGAGAAAGAAAAGGACAGAAAAATCGAGAGGAAAAGTAAGGACAAAGAAAGAAGAGGAAAATGAAGATAGAAGGAGATGACCACCCTACGGTAAGGTAAGAACATTCAGGGAAAAGGAAAGGAGAAAATCTATCAAGAACAAAAGGCACAAAAAAAATAACCAGCCCGCTGCTCAGATGTACAAGACCCAAGATTTTGATTTTAAAAAAATTGTAATTGCATTTTCTTAAACTGTGGTATAGGTGTCGTACCTGTGTTCCAGAAATACTTTGTAAAAATTCAAATTTTAATTGTTGAAAAAAGGTTTTAATGTTGTTATCGATCCAGAAAAGTTTTTTCAAAAGATACATATTGTAGGTACAATAGAACAGCTTCCCGACAAAACATGACATATCCATTTTTCAAGTTTTGAGAAAAATAAAGATTTCTGTACTTTGCCCATTTACTGAATAATCTTGAGCAACTTTGGTTTTAGAGTAAACATCATGTAAGGCTAGTAGATATTCAGTAATTGATGAAACCTATGTTGGAATCTTATCCTTTTTTTTTTTTACATTGATGAGATCTACACACATTTTTGACAAAAACCTAACAAAAAATGCTGTTGTTTTTTTCTCGATTTTATTATTTTGACAAGCACCTGAATTTACAATGATGCCTTACATATTCTATAAATGAAGCAAGCTTAAGAAAAGCATGACAAAGGGAGAAAGTGACACTTGCAGTTAGTCACATCAGACGATTATATCTATTTGTTATCACCTCAGTAGAAATTTTGCACTGTTGAACAGTGCACCCACCACCACCCTCAAAGATGAAAAGAATCTTCCTATGTCTCCACCTTGCCATGGGTCAAGGGTCACAGTGTTGACTCTAGAACTATCAATAATTATAGGTCTGCACAAAGAAAAAAGAAATTCATTGTATTACCACAACAAACACTAAAAGCACTTCTACTGCTAAATCATTATTTAGGCTGAAAATTTAAAACAATTTTGACCTTAAATAAGACTGTTTCTACTTTCCAGTGAATTCCCACTCACGTCTGTCCTTTCCTCAACTGCCAGACATAGATAAACAACAGGCACAAAGAGAGAACAATAATAGTATCATTTAAAGTTAAGGTTAAGTCTAACAGAAGAAGAACAAAGACAAGTAAAGCAAATACCTTGATTGGTTACAATACTGGGGACTCTTGTGGCCTAGAGATATGGTGTTTACCTCTCATTCAATGAGTCTCAGTTTCGAGACCTGACTGTGACAAAACATTTTCTACTTTCTCCTCCTTTCCAGTTCTCGTCCTGTTCTGTCACCTGCTAGTTTTGTTTTAGTAGACATTTTACGGCGCTCGCAACTGCATAAGATCATATGAGCGCCAGAAGATTTGAGGTGTTACTAGAGAGTAAAAAACATAAAAAGAAGGGGAGATAAGGACGAGAGATGTTTGATAGAGGAAAGAAGAAGCAAACCACACCAGAGCACCCGCCAACCATCCACTCTGTCACTGGGCTCCTCTCTCCTTTACTCTTGATTCTTTCTACTTTTCTCCTGGTTCTTTCTTACCGATGTCTTAAGGCCACACCCTTGGTCTTAAGGTAGGTAAGATTTAACACCTAGTCTTCTCAGATAAGGGTAAACAAATCTCTGAGGTCCTGAGTGCAATTAAAGATCCCTTGGCGGTTCTAGAATCGATAAGAGAGGGCTGCAGCCACCATCCTGGTAAAATTAAAAATTTCTACCAAAGCTTAAAAATACTCTAGTCAGCAGTCGACTACCCCTGAGATCTAGCGTGGGAACACAAAGAAAGACTAAGAAGAAAGATGATCACAATACCAACATTGTCAGATTCTAAGATTAAGTGAGATGTGATACCTAGACACAGTTCAGTAACTTACTCAGGACTGATCATATTTCTGCCTGGTCTTCTCATGGTAGTCTTAATGACCTCACCACGAAGAGACATCTTCATCAAACAGCTCAGATGCTGAGAAAGAAGGAACACATTCATCATAATTACTAAACTTAAACTGTCATGATTAGAAAATAAAAATGTGTATAAAAGAATCTAAATTACCATCAAGTTTGTTTCATCAAATGTTCCTCTTCAAGATATACTTGTAGTTTAACCTTTTAACCCTGGTGCATTGGAAGGCACAATCTTCACTGCAGATGTCCACTTGGGCATTAACATGCCTTCTTTATGAGTGCTGTATTTTGCCATTGCCACATATGTCAATTGCAGGAACCTAGCTCTACTGAGAAAGGTCTTTAATCTACAAATTAACAAATTCACTAAACAAAAATAAACCATTCATAAATGACTTGAACCTCTTGTCTGTGCAATAGGCATATCTGGTACACCCATATATTTCACTACCTTACGCAGCATAGGTGTGCCCGGTATGTCCTTGAAAACCTGTGGGGTTGTTTTTTGTTCACCACTTTGCTTCTACATGGTTTTGAATTAAGAGAGTTATATCCCCGTCTTCTGTGTTCACATGACAATGTAATCATGTCATTTGTTAAGTTTCTATGCACTAGAATTGCACATGATAGCATCTAGAACAGAGTGAGGTGTGTTCTCTTTCTTACAACTTAAACTACACACATTGTGCAAGACAGTCACAGCCGACGTACTGAATCAGAATGTTCGTTCAATCTCAGTATTTATAGTATACTTCCTTATAGCTTGTTCTACACAGATTTCATCAATGGATGAAGCCATCTCTTCATTTCTTTTTCTATTGATATATGTGTCATGACACGGTGGAATCAGCCGCTCGTCAGTTTTTGGGCGAGGGGAGTTATTGGCATCATTTTAAAATCTTGTTCATTTGTCGCGCTTTCGATGAAAAAGATACCCATTTATCTTGAATAGAAGTCAAGATATTTGGGATTGATGAAGGTTGGGTCGCGTGGTTTCAGAGGTAAAATAAACAAGAAAAAAGCCGTATAAGTTTGGTTATTTCCATAACTTGCGAGTCCGCGGAAACTAAAAATTTACATTTTTTGTGCTTTTAATCAATGTTTTCCAACAAAATCATCACAGCAATGTGTTTTTTAATGGACATAAAAGGTGTTCAGCCCACGGAGCACCGGCAGTGGAATTTTAGTTGTAGCGGGGGGTTCCCCGCCGAGCGACTTATCATGCTGGGGTCAGCTCCCTGTTGCCTCTCTGTCTGGACTGACTTAATTTTTGGTACTTTTCAACGTACAGTTTTAGGTGTATCCTTGTGTTTATGGTAATTATCATTTAATGCACACAAAGCACAAATTTCTGCTCTTGAGATTCAAAAAAAGAACGGACATTGTAACTAGTCTGGTTATTTCATTAGATGTACTGAAGTCGGCAATGCTGAATTGTAAAATTTTTTGGACAAGGGTGAATGAAAAAAAATTAATATTAAAAAAACGGCACGACAAAAATTGTCGAACCTTTGGAACATAACATTGGTGCAGATACTCAAAAAAGATGGTATCTGCGCATATAATAGGAAGCTGTAATTTTGCAACTTTATCCATCTGGTACACAATTCACTATGAAGTAATTCCTCCTAATACAACTTTATATGTCTAATATAATCGTGAATATTCGCATATTTTCTCAAAAGTTTCTCAAAATTACCCTGAAGTCTCTCTATGAAAAAGTAAAAACCGATTTTAGTGCCAGAATACATCTACAATGAAATACACGAACAGTTTCTGTTACACTCCATAAATTCCTTATTTTTCTTAAAACGCTATGTCTAGGTTTTGTAAGTTGACTGAATAGCCGGGATGACTTATTGTAATAGTGTTATAAGAATAATTTCTAGCTTTCCAGTGACACTGAATCAGCACCAGACTTTTCCAGCTTTAATTCTCATTGCTATGACCACTTGCAATAACTGACAATGTTCTGATTTCTTTACATTCATAAATTAAGTGTCCGCGCAGATGTCCGACACAAAAACTTAGAATGAATGTGTTAACTGTCATTATTTTTATTCCATACAAGAAGTACACCTCTACTCATGTATTTTGTGTTAATAATATTATATATTTCTTAGTTGTATGCAGGCGGCCACAGACACAGCATGATTCATGAACAAACGCAGAGTAACTTTCTCTTGTTAAATGGCAGAACAAGAGCTAACGCTGAGTGTCTTTTGTTAAAAAATGCAGATGTGCATCTTTCTTCTCTTATAACTTGACTATTACTACTTGCGCAGATTTAAGATTTCTCATGGTAAAAGACATGATATTAATAGTCAGTTTAACACCGATTTTGGAGAGATTTGTCGTGCCGTTTTTAAATAAACAATCATTTATTCATAAGTAGGTAACAATATTAGGACAAATTGGACACTGTACAAACACTTATCTAGAACAAAAACTAAGGCACAGAAATTAACCATTCAAACGCAGAATAAATCTCAAGACATTGAGCTTTTAGTAAATCCGCGTAATGGTTTGCAGTGTGGAATGGGGAAGAAGTTATATCATTTCAAACGTAGACAAAAATGCGAACTTCTTAACCGACACTGGCAAAGTCGCTTCTGGACTCATTAAGCCCGTGACCCCAACCCGGGGAGCTCCGATGGGCTGCTGAGTCACCCTAACCAAAGGTAACAGAATCAGGCGAAAAGTGACACTGTGAGCCAAAAAAAAAAAATTCGATAAAATTGCCAAATGGGTATAAAACTGCCGATTTGATCGATTTCACTATTTTGACGATTGCCTGATTTCACAACGAAGCCTCACATATAGTTTTACCTTTCTATCTCTTATAATAATCGAACTGCTGTCCATTAAATACTGTGACCTGTGATGTCTTGCGCACTGTAGAATTTTCCTTAGTATGTGGGGTGCCTATATGGTCAACAAGCCAGGGGTTAACTGGCAACTATACAGGCATACAAAACAAAGGACCCAATCAAGTTCTTCAAAGTCTTTGATAGGAATTGGAAATCAAAGTAAGATGATTATATAATTTTTCTTAGTGCTTTTACTTTCATTCAAGAATTTAAGCAGTAGGTAAACAAAGCAAGAGCACCTAAAATTTTACAGTATCCTTTTATTTCAAAACTCATCATACCTTCACTTTCTCCGAGTCAGCCAAAACACAGACCAGAATATAGTTATCCGAGGTAGTTGTTATGCCTGTAGGCGGAAAATCAAATCTTTTGACTTCATCAAACTGCACATTATTTCCCAAGGAAGGGCTGGACAAGAAGTGTCCATTGCTGTACATTACGCCATGCTCCTCTGTGTCAGGGTTGGAGTATGAGGCAACAATCTCCTTGCTCTTCAGCTGTGAGATCATGAAACGTCCTGGTAGAAAAAGAAAGAAAGAAGAGTCTTAACATTGACTGAATCATCCATTAACGACTATTGGATGCCAATCCACTAGATGGTCTACCATAAATAACATGGTCCACCAAAAGTCCTGTCTGACTTAACACAGTTTATCTGACGGTCTACTGTGATAATGTGTTCTATCATTAGGCCTACACAGGGTAATTTTCATACGAACACTCCCACACCCTGATGCACAATTTCAAGAAATTAAAGGGGAAACCCCCCCCCCCCCAACAAACTATAACCACCAAAACATTTCTAATTCAGCCAATGACAGTCCCAAGCCTACATATACATTGAGGGAAAATGTTTATTAGAGTAGACTGTAGTAGACTTGTAGACCGTCAAGTAGAACAGTTGTCAAACTCATGTTGTGGTGGACTATCAAGTAAAACAGAAAGATCCGACAGACTACCAAGTAGACTGACACAACTATTTTTGTTGGGAATGCTAGAGCTCACATTCGTCAGGTTACTGATCCTAGAAGCTAATAAATCAAACTGGGATTTTCAGTAGTCCAGGGATGAAACTTTGGTATGTTTTCAATCCTCATTTCAATCCTTCAGAGACTATTAACTTTTATCATCACTGAAAGATATGGAAAACGGCATACAATAAATTATTGTAATTTCAGGATCTTAACTCATTCGCTACGCAGAGCCATGGGGGGCAGCGCGGCTAAAGTGCCGTCAGTATGCTAAGCCGCCCCTGGCGGCTCGAGAACTGATCTTCAATTTTAGCTTGGATTCTATTCCAATCCACATATCCATGTTAAAATAAAGGTCATAAAATAATGTTGACTTCAGGATCAAGCATTTCCACCAAAAATCGGAAGTTTTGATTCAGCTTTGAAACACAATTTCGAAGTTTATGCGACTTTGTTTTATCGCGATGCTCAAATTATAGCCCAGACCCTAGTCTTACTACTTTTACACAACAAAATATATCATTATTTTGCACACTAAAGAAATGCAGGACTCTTCTTTAGAATATTGATACAATTGGGCTCAAATTGCCATTGCTCTGTTATTGAGAAATCAATATTTTTCAGAGCTAGATCTAGATCTCGATTGTCAAATGTTTTTTTCTCCCAAAAACCACTATTTTTTGTGAAATTACACAAAAAGTACCACTCAAGACATGTGTAGGTTTATTCCAAATGCAATTCTTAATAATTCCATATACGATACGAGTGGTTTTTTCTGTTTGTGAATGCATCTTGTCCGTTTTTCAAGATTATAAAATTTGTGGGTTTTTTTTTTTCAATATCGGATGTCATGATCCAAATGTGCAAATTTTATGGAATGTATATAAATAACTGCAAATTTTTCAATATTTTCCAGTTCTATATTCATTTACGTTATTTTGAAGTATCATTTGACCTGGTACAAACAAATTTTTTTTAGTTTCACCGAAGACAATTAATTTTTAATTTCCAAATTCTATCCGCATCGAAGCAAAATTGTGTTGCATAATCGCCTCTTACAGGAACCAAAGTTGAAAAATGCACAAATAAACATTACAGATGTATTCTACAAATCATACTGAAAATTTCGGTGCATAATATGTTAATATTTATGTGAATTAGTGGCTCCAAAGACCTTTGGACTTTGCACTTGTCATCATCTCATTTCGCCTTACCGTAAAAAATTCGCCCACAAGCCGAAAATAATACGTAGCGAATGAGTTAAAGCATACATTTTACTGACTGAACGAAACAGACTAAATTAGTACTTGCTAACCTAACAGCTTTTACTTACCCCTAGGTGTATCATGAACAAACGGTCCTGTCTTTTGATGGTAATAGATGATACCATCTGGATCTCTTTCTTTAGACATCTAAAGATATAAAGAAAAAAATTATTATCACCATCGTCATTATTATTTTTAAAAGCCTATTTAAAAGCCTATCAGCACAGGAGGAGGGGGGGGGGAAGTGTTCACAATACAATAACATTCAAAGAAAAGGAGAAGACATAAAGACGATAGATGTTTGATAGGAAAGAAGGAGCAGCCTACTTGAATAAAGTACATTACTAAATATTTTCACATCAGACACAAAACATTTGACCAGTAGACTATATGACCCCCTGGTAATAGCTTTGATATCAAACATATTAAACAAATTTGAGGCATGCTGACAAAATGAGTTACTTTTTGCAATCTACGAAAAGGAGATATCGGCCAAAAATAGACAGATCAAGTTTGTAGATTTTCAACTAATGCAATTTTTTTCACGTTTAATATGCTTGTTTGTCTTGGTAAGTGTTTTATGGCGCTCACAACTGCATAAGGTCATATGAGTACGCGGGACACATAAAACATTCATTTCAGTTTTGGTAGGAATTAATTTAGAATTTTGCCCAGGTGGCAACCGAAGCCTGCTCTTATAGATTTTCGACCACCAAGGGATCTTTAATGTGTGCAATTTGCACATGGGACCTCCAAGATTTTTCGCCCTTATCCGAGAAGGCTAAAGATCAAGGGTGTGGCAGAAAGACAGTAGTAAGAAGGAACCAATGAGTACCAATAGAAAGGCTGCAGATAGAGTCAGAAGCCCAAAAGAGAGGGCAAAGAGGGGAGAAAGTGAGGACGAAAACAGATGACAGAACATGGTAGGAAAGGAGGTGAAAGGAGAAAATATAACCAAAATATTTTTTCTGTAGCTGTCAGTTTTCAAACCCGGAACCTATTGAATGAGAAGCGAACATCGTAACCTCTCAACCACAAGAGACCACAAGTTTAATATTATGTCTTTTATTATAATTTCACATTATAGATTATAAAATCATAACCTATAAATTTTATGTTTTATCTATGTTCATTGTGATAAAATCCGAGATGTTACTAATTTTTTCAGCATGCCTCATAATTAACCCTTTGAGCCCTAGCCATCAGTACACCGCGTACAACTGCCCGTATGCCTAGCTGCCATTACACCAGTGACCGAGACCATATCCCAACCAAACACAGCCTGTCTGGGACAAAACACGCACAGAAAACAGTGTTTGCTACACATGACATTATTAATTATTTTGAGGATCTTTCTAAAATAGAAGCTGGTAATGACGAGGACTACCCTTAGTGGGAAAGGGAATGTTATTCTGAGGAGGATATAAATGTGAGAGTAATTGTGAGAGTAATATAGGCTTGAATCGTTCAAGGGCTTGGGCAGAGGGGTAGGATAGTCTCAGGAGGACAGGGACCAATGGGTCATGGTGTAACCTTAGCAGAAAGCCTAATCAACAGGCTCACAAAATGAATTACCGTGAAAAGGAGATGACGGTCGAAATCACAGAGATCAAATTAAGAATTTGTAGATTTTCAGCTTATAATACCATTTTCTTCAATTTTAGTAGGTCTTTAATCATTTCACATAATAAATTGTATAAACCCAATCTATAAATTTAAGGCGCATTCATCTTTGTCAATAGGAATAAAATCTGAGAAGTGACCCATTTTGTTAGCATGCCTCACAGTTAAGGTCTAACCTTAGCGGAAATCAGACATTCTTCACTGCCTGTCACAACAATGCTGAGAGGGATGCTGACCCTGTCGCCGAGAGGTAGGGAGAAGGCCAGCTTGAGGCTGCTCCACTCTGTTCCCACGCGGGCCAGTGGCAGGGGCGGGGGGACCACCTTCTTCACCTCAGGCAGGACCAACCTGTTCAATGGGACATTTACTGGAGTTCAGGAGAACTAACTGTGGCATTTATTTGAGTTCAAGAGAATCAACAACATCAAAGTGAAAACTTATTTGAGTTTAAGAGAACCAGCCTAATCAGTGAGCTATTTATTTGAGGTTAAGAATAAAAGAGAACCAAACTAATCAATGAGACATTTATCTGAGGTCTAGAGAACCGACCTGTTCAATGTAATATATTTTTTTAGTTCAAGAGAAGTACATGTACATAGAGAAAACAATGGTCATTTACTGCTGGATAAAAACCCAAGACAGACAGAAACAATAGAGGGCCAGGAAAGAAGTAGGAACTCCCAGTACCAGGAGCACTATTTAACCATAAAGGTCACAGACAAAGGAGAAAGTGACTTAAAATAGAAACAACCAAAAAAATATATACAATGGTAAGATATTGGCTGTGGTGAATTGGGACAGCCTGTGAACCAACACAGAGGGGAAAATGATAAGAATCAACGATTCTAAGATAACAAACACCTAACTTTATACATGAGGACTCCCTCCACTGAAAGAAGGGGCACAGTCACAGAAATCTGCTTTTGGGAAAACTGAATTATAAAGTTTGAAAGTCATGGTCAAGAAACCTATGCACACTGCCATTTTTCTGTTTGGTTTTTCTTATTAGTCACCCATTTAAGCATCTGATCTTCCTGCAAAATTTGACTATTCTCTGATAATACAGAGGTGAATTACATCATACTTTCTAAAGGCACCCCAATTCTGGACTACGCCCGTTTTTTTTTCATTGGATATAGACTAAAATGATCTTTACTTAGGCAAACTCACTTAATGAGGACATTCCATCCCAAATTTCAATAGTTTTATTGATCTCTCTTTTATGTCCAGTCATTTCAGACTGTTAGGAGCACAGAGAAAAATAAAAAATGACATATAACTGACATGGGGCTGTTTCACACAATGTCCATGCAGGACAAAAAAGGGGCACATCATCAAAATCATTAGATAAGCTCTTATTACTCTGGTCAAACAAAATGTATATAGTTAAGGTGTCAGTAGCTCAGATACTTTGATAATATTATCAAAACAATATCGCTTAATTTAGAGAATTACAAAGCACAACATGGCCAGGCCTAGTGGTTAGGCTACTGGACCCATAATAATGAGATTGTGGGTTTGAGGGTTCGAGTCTCAGCTCCGTCCGACGTTGAGTCCTTGGGAAAGGCACTTTAATTGAATGGCTCGGTCCTTTCGGAGATGGACATTTAACTCGGAGGTCCTGCCTCTAAAAGAACCTAATAGTGTTGATAGGGGCGTTACACTTTTACCATTTCACCATTTTCACAACATGGCTACAAAGATATGAGGAGAACAAAACTTACAAAGCTTTTACAAAAGCACTTTGAATGGGTTTTTAATTAACTCATCATTACAGAAAAACAGACAAAGCTCATTGGACCAGGTCAGGCATAGTGCTAATCATCAAGGAGAAAAAAAAATAGTTTTATCAATCTCTCTTTTATGTTCAGTCATTTCAGACTCAGGGTGTCCAGCAATATTTCCTGAACAAATTTACTACTTGGAAAAAAAATGTACGGTACCCTGCAAATCAAGCCCCTCACCAGCTCGAAAAAGGTAGTTCACTGAACATAACAGGAAAAAGTTCTGACACATCATCCGAACTCCTCGAGCTGGAATGAGAGCTGACAAGATGAAGCACCCATCTCACTTCGGCCATCAGAGTTTTTTCATCCCTTATGTGTGCATCTAAGGTGCGAGATTTTGGCAATGTCTCAGTTGTTAAGAGTTTAGTTGTGGATTGTTGGGGCTGGGAAGGTTGTTGAATTGTTTCATCAGTTGTCTGAGTCTGTGACTTACAGTTGATGAGCACATCCTTGCTTTTCAGAAAACTCAAACTGAACATTGCATGGGATTCAGTGGCTGCTTGCAAGGAGAATCTATGCTTCGCTGCTTTCATATATGACGTTAATGCTTTCACACCATTTGTGCCTATCGTACCCTGCTGTTTGCAAACTCTGCAGAAAAACAGACCAGGGTTGTTCGGAACTTGCTCCAGCCACTCGGTAAAACGATCGTCTTTCAGCCACTCGCAGTTGAAATAGCACTTTCCCATAGTGAATTTTGAATGCCAAAAAAGAAATCCATTTGATTCACAGTCTTAAACTTGAACAAGATCTAGATCTAGATTCTTTAACTGATGAATGTTGAAAATCGAAGTTGTCCTGGCCGGTTGGAACGAAAATAACATACAACAAAGTCCAGTCGACAAAATGGAGGATAGACGCGTGCTCACGCACCGCTAGATTTAGACCTAAAGCGTGCACAAACAATGGAGAGTTACTGTCTTTAAAAGTTCCGCGATACTGATACTACTACTAAGATCGATCCCTCAAGACGACGGCAAATCCAAAGAATCAAAGACATGAAACTCGATATCTAGAGTATTGAGCCTCTACAAAAGATGGACTTGGTAATCGCTGAGTACCGCGGCTATAACTCCGTTCACTGGAAAGTGATTGCGTTCACTGAAAAGTCTTGCCGCGTTCATTACTCCATAAGCAGGTTTAATTTACGACAGTTTACTACTGTCATGGCACTTTTACTACCATTTACGACAAGGGCGCTGAATTTACGACTTTTTAACGACTTTATGACCTTGTTGGACACCCTGCAGACTGTTAGCCTATGTCTCCTTATGCGCAACGCGACGTTTAGTCGCGTGTGACAGTCACTAGTGATCAGTACCGAGGTGTGTATTCTTATGCGCTACCCCATCGCAACAAAATTTTCAGTCACGGGTAACAAAAGTGACAAAACTGTCTCCTTATGCACGATGCGACGTTTATCGAGCGCGACTGGCTACGCTCTCACACGACTGGCAATTCACAGAAGAAAAACAGTGGCAAATTTTAATGTCAAGATGGACACGGAAGTACAGAGTCCTTCAGATGGGAGCTCTACGAGCCGCTTACATATTCTATTCCATACATGGCCAATTCCGTGCAAGTCCTCCTCCTCCTCCTCCTTCTCCTCCTCCTGCTGTCCATTAAAAAAACAAAACAACAAAATTAGATTCACAAAACTTGCACTGAGTCGAATTGAAGATGAACATCTTACACACAAACATACACACACAAACACACACACTAGTGTCGACCAGCACTCCTTGGCTAGGTAATTTGACCAACGGTAATGGTCTAAACCTGTCACACCCCCAGTCTGTCACACATGACGAAGCCCTTAATTGCTACATGGACCGATCGCAGGCGACGGTCATGTGCGATTGGATGTTGCGTCCTGTGTAAGGAGACGGTTTCTTTATTTATCTTACTTGATCGATTTTAGAGTAGCAAGGACCCGACGCAACTCGACATCACGTTATGCATAAGGAGGCAAGCTCTAAGGAGCACAGAGAACAAAAAAACCCAACAACAACAACAAACAAATAAAAGATCAAGTCTCTGTTTTTTTTAATCGGTCAGCTTTGCTATCGCCTGTCTTTCATTTCTTTGTTTTGTCTGTGACTTGAAGGGTGTTTAGTGCATTCGCCATGATTATTGCTGTTAATGTCACCAATGAACCTGGAAGGAGAAGCTGATTTACCAATTCATGTCATGTGACAATATCTCTGAGCGGAAGTTGGACTATGCTCGTTTTATCAAAGAAAACTGTGACTCTGCCCGTTTTTTGAAAGGATTGGTTATTTTTTGTAGTCCCCGTACTCCTGACTGTGCTCCTTTTATGCTTTGATATTTATAAAGATGAAAATAGACAGAGTATAGTAGCAGGGGGCATAACGAAAAAAAATAGCAAAATGTGACTATGCCCATTCTTTCAGTGGAGTTCTCACATATAATAGATAGTTTGTGTACGTCTTATGATAAATTGTAGTAACCTGTACACAGTCATCACTGTCGAAAATGCATCACAACTGTTACTATCGCCTAAGCCCATAGCAATTCACAAGTGTACGGGAGAACAATGAGCCGCACCATTCGTCGTTTATGAGTACATCGCAGGGCTCGCCTGCGGCTGGGCAGTGTAAGGTAGAACGATGAATGTCGAATAACTTTGCTTCTTTTCAACCTAAACAATTCAAACTTTTGGAACAGGTCTATGAACACGTTAACCAGATTTCTGGTGAATTATAGCTTAAAACAAAAAAAAATAGAAGAGTTGTAAAACATTTTTGCCTCTCCTGAATAATTTGCCCCGCTACTTGCACAGAACCATTCATCAATTTCCCTTACGACAGCAGAAAAGTTTCACATCCAGTCTCTTTATTGTGGTCTTGTTTTTGCAGTAGCTATAATTATCTATTCAGCAACAACCCTTCCCCCTCCCCAAGCCTTTTTTTTCAAAATGTAGGTGTGTTGTGTCCCCATTAACCCAATTTAGATTATTTAGGAACTGGGCTTCAACCTTGCCTTTCAGGGCCAACCCAGGCTGAGAGGGATAAAATGTTCCAGCAGAAAGACTGAGACACTCCATAAAAATCCTCTCAATATGGAAACTAAACTCAGCTCTTCTGTGTACAACATCAAAGTGCCCAACAGTACATCACAAATGCCAGTCAGCACCCATTGCCATTCTGCTTGATTCTAAGTAACAGATGTACATGGTGTCAGTGTTGCAAGCAATCCACTCAAGTCAATTTGGGTACTTTTTAAACCCGAGACAAAAAACTAGATTTTGTTCTGTTGTTCCTATCAGGCATCATGAAAAGCAAGAAAACTATAAGCCTTAACAATAGCATTAAACTGCATGTTGGGATTGTTGAAAGGTGCATTTTTGGTAAAGCTTTGGGAGGGTGTAAACATAGAAAATTCTCAAAATTTGAACTTCAGTGGATTGCTTGAAACAGCAGAGATGTACATCTACTTCAGATGGTAATGTGCTCAAATAAAGAGTAGGAGATTACTGGTGGTTCAACAGGAAAGTGATTTCTCTGGTCATGGAACTGTTTGCAGTGGGGAACATGACTACCACTTATTTCATGACCAAAGTAACAAAGTTGTAACGGTTTAAAAGGAGGTCAGACGGGCGCGAATAGAAATTTGAAGGACATGCTACAACTCTAAGAAAAAAACTTCCGCGTGGTCTCAAGTATAAGAAAAGCGATGAGATATGGTTAATACAACCAAAAAGGTAATACACAGAAGTCTGCAACTTACCTTCTCTCCTCCGCTTTTGTCAAGTTCCTCATGGCCCCATCCACTTCTGCAAGGAGAGAAGAAGCCTCTTTCTGTTTTTCAAACACTTGGATACTATTGGCGACACTGAAGTGATTTCTGTCCAACTGTTGAAAATAATCAAAGATGCTAAAATCAAGCCAAACTTAATGTCAATAGCATGCATGATTAATGTAAGAGGTTTCAGGACAAGGAAACGCAAGAGTCAATTTTATAAGTACTGCTTGATGGTCACTTGGAAGAGGTTTAGATAATAACATTTAACAGTTTTTACAGGTAAATGAACAAATGTTATGAAAATTAAAGTTTAATTAAGTTTGCTAATTTTTAACAATGTGCAAATTCGGTACCCCTCGAAGCTGAGAATATATGCTCTCAGGGTGGTGGGAGAACAAGCGCTGTTGAAAATATATGCGCATGGGGCTGGAAGAGTTAAGTTGCAATCTGGCTGGAGGAAACAAACAAATGTCCAGTCAGCTTACAGTCCGTATTACTGAGAAAACATGTAATTTCTTCATCTTAAAAGACTCTCCCCACCCTGATGCCATCTGAATATGACCATAGTTATCATCATGACATGCCAGATCTGAAACTGACATCAGCAATCGTGGTTCGCCATTCATTTCTTCGCACAGATGCCCTAAAAATACCTGTGGTATCCTGGTCTTTCCCCACAAAGCATCTGTTTAGACAATGACAGTAAAAGCTACAACCTAATCTACTCTATCATTCACCAACTAAAAAATTAAAAAAATGGAAACTCACTTTCAAAATGTGAAAACTAATAAATTATAGCAATAATGAAATGAATAAAACTGAATAAATCCTTTCCTTTCAACACAAAAGGAACCTTGAACCTACAAATGAAATAGACTGCCTATATGAGGGACTTCAGTGGAGGATCGCTATTTTTTTGTTGTTGTTTCAATTAATTTGCAATCTTGTCCCTGCAAAATCATTCTCACTATCAACAAGTGTGTTATCCTGGTCTTTCCCCACAAAGCATCTGTTTAGACCCTGTAAGTAAGCCTTTTTGGTCTGCAAAATCAATACACACCATTATGTAAACAAATCTTGTTTTTTGTTTTTGTAAAGTGTTTTACGGCGCTCGCAACTGCATAGGTCATATGAGCGCGCGGGACACACCTAATATTTTCAGTTGGTAGGAAATTTTGAATTTTGCCCGGGTAGCGGCTGAAGCCTACTCTTATCGATTTTAGACCACCAAGGGATCTTTAACGTGCGCAACTTGCACACGGGCCCTCCGAGATTTTTCGCCCTTGTCCGAGAAGGCTAGGTGTAGATCTTTCCTACCAGAAGATCAGGGGAGTGGTAGAAAGACAGCAGTAAGGAGGAGCCAAGGAGTAGCAGTAGAAAGGCTGCAGAAAGAGTCATGAGCCCAGAGGAGGGGCCAAAGGAGGTGAGGGGGTGGGGGCAGAAAGTGGAATTGAAAGCAGACAACAGAACATTGCTAGAGAGCAGGAAAGGAGGTGAAAGGAGACAATTTTAGAGAAGAAAATTTTTCGGTCGCTACCCGGATTCGAACCCGGGACTTTTGAATGAGAGGCCAACACCTTAACCTCTAGGCCACGAGAGCCCCAAACAAATCTTGAGCTCCATCTAAGTTCAGTAATCATGTCAAAAAAGCTTTTAGGTAAAAATGAACACAGAATCTGACTTTAAAAAATAATTTTTAAAGCCACATAAAATTATCTTTAATGGAAATGATCTCACAATATCATAACTAAAAACCACAGTGAAAAGGAAACATTATTTCGTAAAACCTGTGGAAGCAATGACAGTAAAAACAACAATCCAATCTAGTCTATCATTCACCAACTCAAATTAAAAACTAGAAACTAATTTTCCAAATCTTGAAATCTAATAAATTATTGTAATAATGAATAAAACAGAATAAATCCTTTCCTTTTCAGCCCAAAAAGAACAATTTGCATTCTAAATTTATTTTCACAAAAGGAAACAACAAATGAAAGAGACTGCCTGTACGAGGGACCTCAGTAGAAAATCACTTTTTTCTTTAAATTTCAATTAATTTGCAGTCGTTTCCTTGCAGAATCATTCTCATAATCTTCAAGTGACGGATCTGAAACAGACATCAGCAATCAAGGTTCACCACTCATTTCTCTACTTGGAGGCTCTAAAAAAAATCTTCATCATCCCGGCCACCCATTTGTTCAAGTTCTGTCCATCATCAATCTAAAGCACACTTTTCCCAATTTTTTTCTATTAGAGCAGAAAATAAGAAAAGAAAAATATGAAAAATAAACTCTGTCTCTCCGATAATTTGTATATCATCCAAACTGACATTATCATGGATTTTTCTGAATGCGTTTATTTCAAAGTTTCTTTATCAGATACATCAAGCCTGGTTTTGGAAGGCCACACAGTCAGAGGGGATGCCCATTGATCAAATACATGATCGGTTCAGAGACGGTCAAGTTATGCAATAGTGCAGGACCATTGCATACTATATCAAATTGACTTCTGTCTTGCTTCACCAAATTTGACCCCAAGTTCATTATGGCATATATCACATTTAGAGCAAATACAAAAGATCTGACCGTGCAATGCCTAGGAATAGGAGCTATCTAATTGGCTGTTGGCCACAATTTTCCCCAAGTGAACACGATTCATGACCTAAAATATCAAACAGGTCAGATTTGAGAGATTTGATCAGGTAATAACTTACAGAGATGTTGGACAGTGTATCTCTCAGATTGTCCAGAAAATAGTTAAACCGCTGGGATTCAGCCAGTTTTCCTCTGTAGTCAGTCAAAATATCTTGACCTGGAAAATATGAAGGGAAATAGTCAGAGTGGCAGTAGATATGCATGGATGCCTTAAAAACTATGCAAACAAAAATGAATCTTTTTAATATTTCAAAATACAGAATTTGCACGTGTTTCAAAATTTCAGTTAGGACTGTCGTAAAGTAACAGGAGGCTCTCATGGTCTAGAGCTATGGTGTTCACCTCTCTATCAATAGGTCCTGTGTTTGAAACCCGACAGCGACGAAAAAGATTCTCTAAAATTTTGTCCTTTCACTTCCTTTCCTGTTCTCTAGTCATATTATTGATTTTTGTTCTTTTATCTGCTTTCATCTCCCCTTTCTGCACCCCCCCCCCCCCCCTTTCACTTCTTCTCAGCTTCTGACTACAGTGGAAACCATATATAACAGGCCCGGTAATAACAGGGATCCGGTAATAACAGGGATTTTTTAAATCCCCGGTTTTTCCTACTCTTTGTCTCTATTAAAAGTTATCGGCAATAACAGGGCCTCATCAGAGCCCAACCGGTTATAGCAGGGACAAAAGCTCGCTAACAATGTGTAAAAAGTAAGAGAGAGAGAGCAAGCCCACGCAAGCCATGCCACTGCAAGCACACACAGCAGTGTGAAGCGAGAGTTCAAAGCACGCACGCATGCACCACAGCACACTTTGACTGTTCACTAACATCAGTTCATCATAGCTCATATGTGTAGATCTAAGCTTAATGCGCTCTGTGGACTAAGCCTACTTCTTTCCTTATGGCCACCAACGATGTCAAGCGCAAGAGAAAATGCCTTTAAATGGACAAAATATATGAAATAATCCAGACTGTTGACAAAAAACAAGCTCCACTTGCAAGATTTGTCGTCAGTTCGACATTCCACAAGGGTCGATTCACACCATTATCAAGGATAGAGAGAAGATAGTGGCAGCATACTTCAATTGAAAGTTTGCTCTGGATCGAAAGAAGATGAGACTACCCGATGCAGATCTGATGTGGTTTAGGGAGGCATAGAGAAATTGGTGCCAAAACCCCTGATCGTGGGTACCTGTGGCAAGGGGAACTACCCATGTATAAGTACAGCTGGATTAGTCCACAAATGCTTACTTTCCTTGCATTTCTGATTTTTCAGGGATCGGATATAACAGGATTTTTCTTCTACTCCCACCATCCCTGTTATATCAGGTTTCTACTGTATTTCTACGTCTACTGCTGGCTCCTTCTTACTGCTGTCTTTCAGCCATAACCCTGATCATAGAGTAGGTAAGGTTGAACACCTAGCATATTCAGATAATGGGCGAAAAAATCTCGAAGGTCCCCTGTGCAAGTTGTACATGTTTAAGATCCCTTGGCGGTCCTGAAATCAATATAAGTAAGCTTCGTCCGCCACCTAGGCAAAATTTAAAAACCAATTCCTACCAAAACTGAAAATGTTTAACATGAATGCAACTAACTTGTTTCCCATACACTCATATGACCGTACTCAGTTGGGAGGATGGTGAAACTCTTACCAAACTAAGTAAAGTAACAACAGAGCAATCTTCAAGTAAATGCTATCAACTTTTCATACAAAATGAAGATGATAAAAAGAATATTTACAGGAACAAGAAGAGCTAGCAAAAGTGGTATCTGAAACCATACACCATACACCACAAACCCACAGAACCCTATGATACTATGAGACATTTGAAGACCTGCAAATATCAGGACCAATAGCAATACCAAGGTCTGACACTTTTTTTACTTCATCTTTGAGATCATATGTGATGCATCGTGGTGAAATCAAGCACTCGTCAAAATAATGAAATCAAACAAAGATTTTTTTTCCACCAGTCCGGACATTTTTATTGAATTATTTGTTTTGAGCTCAACATCTTTTATGTCCATTCAAAATAACATTTCTGTTCTGATTTTACTATAAAATGTAGATCTTTACTTTTACTTTTTCATCCTCTGTTGCCGTTAAGCGTCGAGGGGAGATGCAGTTTTCTATGGTAGGCCAGCTCCGCAGCTCTTTCAGTTGTGATATTATATTTTCTCAGGGTCTCCTTGACACCCTCAATTCACCTTTTGCGTGGTGTTCCCCTTCCTTTATAGCCTGAGTGCTTGGTGTTGTAGGCTCTTGAGGCAGGCTGGCCAAGTGACATACGTAACAGGTGGCCAAACCATTTTACTCTATCTTTCTATGTAACGCAGGCAGGACTCAGTGCTGATAGCTGCTATTACTTCTTCATTTTTCTGCCTGTCTCATCTTGAGTTGTTAAGGGTTCTGCAGGGACATATCATTTCACATGCAGTGATTTTGCTTGGCTGGTTTTTACTTAATGTCAAGGTCTGGTACTGGTAGCATAATGTTGGTATGTATATTGAGGCGATAAGCTGTCTCTTTATGTCCATAGAGATGTTTGGATAAGAAAGGAGGGGAACGAGAGGGTCGGTGACAGTGATGTGCTTATTTTCATATTTAATTTCTCGCAGCTGGTGTCCAGTTCGGTAATGTGATTTTAAAGGCTTTGTCAGTTTGGATGAATAAGACATTGGTTGTCAGCGAAAAGAAGTTCATTAAGCTTTCTGAGCATTGGTTTGCTTCTTGCGTTATTGTGTCCATATATATTATAAACAGGAGGGGAGACAGAACGCATCCCTGTCCTACTCCGGATCTTACTTTGAACTAGTTTGTATTGCCTTCCTCCGTTCTTACTGAGCTTCTGCTGTTGGTATATATAGAGCTCAGACATTATCTAACATTAGTCCTCTGATGCCATACTTTTCGAGTGTCTTCCAGAGTTTTGCATGTTTTACTCTGTCAAAAGCCTTCTCCTGGTCTATAAAGAAGATGTTGAATTCTCTGTTGTGTTTGATTTTTTTCACGCATATCTGTCTTAATGCGAATACAGCATCCGAGCATATAAAATGAAGATCAAAAGAACATAGTATGCAAATTTGCAGTTTCCAAGGACACTACAGCTCTGCAAATCATCAAATTTTGGCAGTCATTTTCTCGCTAATTATACCTCTAACACCAAGTGATCCCCACCTCCTTGAATCACGAATATTTCAACTTCTATTCAAGAGAAACTTTTTTCACCAAAAGTAGGGGAAATGAACAGGCTTTACGATTATCCTAATAGCTCCATTTGCCCAAAAATTGACTAGTGCCTAATTTCACTGCATCGTGACACATATTTTACCTCATGTGATATTTGAGGTATCAAAACAGCACTTTCGTAAAACATCTTGGCACTTTTGTAAAAAAAAATCTGAGAAAATCAAATACAAAAATGCCATGCGTCAAAACTACATAATAACACAAAGTGTGTCGTGAGTCTTAGTAGAAGCTAGTCCATACCTCAGAGAAAGAAACAATCAATACACATTTGATAAGATAAATATTTATTGTCCAGATACTGGTTGACTGGTTTGGTGTTTCACCACAAAAGCCCGCACGAACCCACGCCCACACACACTTACACAATCTCTCACAATTTTCAAATGCTCAGCATTGCTACACTACAGAGTCATGACGTAGTGCTCACCTTGCCCACGTGCATTGGCTACTGCTTGGTCAAATGAAATGGTGGTTTGCTTTAGGATCTGGAAGAAAGAATGAGCACACATATAAATGGTGTTATGCACCCAAACAGTGAAATTAACTTCTCGAAAAATGATCAACAGGGGAAAAAAATTCTCTAAATGAAATTGATTTCAAGATGAATTATAATGAAAGTCTATGAGTCTATTCTTGTCTGGACGAAAGATTTGTATTAAGGAGCTGCAGAAAGATATTGGTAATAGTTCTAAAATTTTAAAAAAGAGTTGGCTTACTTCTTCCACTTAAAAGGTTAACTTTTTCCCGACATAATTCTTTTCCTGTGTTCACCAGAATTAATTTTTGAAAGGGCCTAGGTTTTGAAGGGTGACATTTTCTAAACACAAACAATTAAAAAAAACCATTTGGTATCATTTTAAAGGTAATAGCATGTAGGTTGCATCTATAATATTTGTTTAAGTATCTGTAATTTGTGGGCTGCAAAAAAGAAACATTTCAACACGCCCATCAGGAATTATGATTCATCAGTGCTGTTACTATTAAAACCGTTAAACACATTTAGATCATTGCAAAACTGAAAAGTTTTATTAAAGTTTAAAAACCTTAACAATTCCACCAGATTCATAATTATTAGCAGCCTTTTGATTACCTGGCTTTCTCCCCCATATATTTCATTCAGTCATTTTCATTGTGTTTTCATAACTGGGAAATCTGAAAATGAAATTCCCGGCTTTTTCCTATTTTCCCGGTTGAGTGGGAATCCTGTTTAAATTCATAAACCCAAAACTTGGTATAAATTGTCCTCAGATGTTACTACACTAAAAAGAATGCATAGATTGATATTTGCAATAGTATTTCAATAAAAGAGACTTTTCACAAAATTGATTGCAAGCATGGGCATTTTTTTTTTTTCAATTTGAGATGTACCAATTTTTAAAGAACCTAGTAAGAGCACATGATATAAATATTGCAAGTTTCAAACCAGCTAGCATTTGTAGAATATGATGAACAGGAAGTATTACAAGTCTTGAAAAAATTAAGTGAATCACAGTGCCTCTTTGAAATGTAATCTCCAAATTCAAATTTACGTAATTTTAAGTCTTTGATGGACGTAGTTAATAGAGTCTACACAGCTTTGGAGTTTGAAGATAATGCTGACTAGGTAATGGACAAGACAAGCCAGAGATATTTCTTTATACAGTCTAGCACTAGCGCACACAGAGTGAATTCGAACATAGCAGTACATGCACGTAGCAAACAGATTTTTCAAATCTTGAATTCATTTTATTAGACATCATATTCTTTGAACATCTTTGAAACTGTGCAGAGTGAAATTTGTACATAACAAGAAGACTTTCAGATCTCCCTGATCTCGCTTTGTGCGTGCTAGATTGCATAACACTTTTGTAAGATTTCTTACTTTAAGTCTCCTTTCTTCCATGCTTTTCCCAATCATATCTACATGTTTCTTGAGCCGCTGTTCAATGGCCTCCTCTTCTTTCACATCCTCCACACAGCCCTGCATCAGAGCTGATGCTCTTTCCTTTACTTTATTCATGGAGTCCTCCAGGTATGTCCCCATGTCCTCAAGGGGCCTTGTCTCATGCAGCTTGTGTTCACCTGTAGCAAGAAATAAATGGAAAGGTGGAAAAAACTGGTGTAGATGCACATAGGAATAATTTCTTAATAGTTCTCGAATCAAAAAGAGAAAGAACCTTACTGATGAGCTGCCTGAGATTTTTGTTTTAGCGTCCCCATTTAGAAGAATACGAAAAACTATGAGATTAGAACAGTTAGCTTTCTTCGTAGTAAATAAAAACAAGAAAATAGGAGCCTCTCCTCAATTTCAATGAAGAAAGGAACAAAAACACCAATGTCTTTACAAGAGGAAAAGACCACTGATAGAAGTTGCCGTGGAAAGGGAAAAAAAGAGAAACTTTCTACTGGCCGTAGAACCCTCTAAATGGCTCCTTGAAATTATCTTTTTAAACACAATTCATAAAAACAAGATAAAAAGCAGACACATGCTATTCTTTTAAAAAAAACAACAACTAAACTAAACTATTCCAATGTCAGTTACATTTCTGTATCCACACAACTCACTATCATTCCCCAAAAAATTTCATTTCAAACAATGAAAATGAAAAGAAAAGTAGGCATGAGCAAAGAAAATGATGGAAACACATCTATCTATTTATCTGTCTATCTAGGCCTATATATATATACAGCAATGATTTAACAAACGAAGCAAAAAATAATAATTTTCCTACCTTTCTCACTGCATTCTCCACAGCATGGAACCCAACATTTTAAGCAAAAGAATGCATATTCAGCGTGACCAGCCTTAGGACAATGAGTGGGTGGTAAGGCTTCGTTTTGTAAACTCTGAAGAATTACTGTGTGCCTACAGTTGGCTCTGTCCTCATTGCAGACAGGACATCTTGTGTCACTAGCATCAAGGCTGTCAAAAGCTGCAGCTGCATCCTCCTCTTCATTAATTTCTCTGAAGCTACTATCAAATATTTTCCCTCTCAGGTTAGAAGCTTGAGGAAGCAACATGTAGCTGTGCTTTTTCTGGTCTAGGGCAATATCACCAGTCTCATCAGTAGCTTGCTCTTCATGATGAGTGCGACAGTTTCCACATAGGTTCATTGAGCAATTGAAGCAGTTCCACATAGCTGCATCTTTCATGCACCTATCACACATTATCACATCATCAGAGCTGTTACTTGAAATACCAGCAATGAGTTGTAAGGTCAGAAGATCATTATTTTCTGTATTACATTTGGGGCAGAAAATTGTATTGCTGCCAGAGTTTCGCTTCAGTTTCAAGGCGCACTTGTTGCATAGAATGTGAAGACACTCCGTCAACTGGACAGGAGAGACAAGGGGTCCAGAACAACCTGCACATATGCACTGTCCCATTACCCCTGACACAGTAGAATGCCGACTGGCCATTGCCAAGACAGTACGCTGAAAGGAAAGATGTTTTGGAGAAAAAAAATTATCAAGCATGACACGATGCCATTTCCAAGAAGGCAATGAAGTTGTACAATTATTTAACAAAAGAACAAGACACAAACACAGCCAGTCTATTACGCTGAACTTTCAAGTCAGCCAGCAGTGATCCAAATAGCCATCACCATTGGAACCTAGCTTTCATTTCTGGTTTGCCCTTACCCTGCCCTTAACATTTTTACAAAGCCTCCAAAAATAATACAATGAAATAAATCTAAATCAAAATCTTCCGTAAAAAAGCTTTTAAAATAGCATAGATCACAATGTGTTGTTTAGACAGAAATGAAACATTTTTACTGAAAAAAACTTGATCAGTATCTACACAATATAATTTACTTTACTTCAATAAAGCTTTGCTTGTTAAAATGTATAATTAGTCACATTGAATGATACTTCTAGTTTATCTTAAATACATTGGGAAGAAGGAGAAAATTATTCACAAATCAATTGTTGCTTGGAGAGTAGGGCAAAATTTTCTGCACTGAACATCCAGTACACTCTGACTTGGCGATTTTATGCACTGTTTATTATTTTCAATATTATAATACAGTGGCATCCAAAAGAAACTTGAAACTGCATTTTTTTATAAGATAAGATATATAGTCTACTTTGTTGATCCACAAGGGAAATTTTGGATGGATATACCAATATATCAATATTCAAAGTTTCAACACCAGTATAACAGTGCATTCATTACATTCACGTTCAATGATACACATCCAATGATGAACTCACTCACACAAACATACCCGTACAATGCGTCCACAGGCACGAACTCTCTCTCCCTCTTTTGTGTCTCCTCTCCTCTCTTCTCTCTCTCTCTGACACACACTCACAGTCTTCTCTCTGTCTTTTCTATACACATCAGGCACACACATAGAGCTCAATCATACACAAAAAGATCAATATCCTATAGGTCTTTCTTCATTCTTTTTTTTTTTTTGGTAAGTGTTTTTAATGGTGCTGCAACTGCATAAGGGCATTTGAACGTGCGAGACACTTTAAACATCTTCAGTTTGGTAGGAATTTTGAACTTTGCCTGAGTGGCGGCCAAAGTCTACTCTTATCAAATTTAGAACTATGAGCAACCTGCACACGTGACCTCCAAGATTTTTCGCCTGTATCCAAGAAGGCTAAATGTTAGATCTTACCTACCCTAAGATCAGGGGTGTGGCAGAAAGACAGCACTAAGAAGGAGCCAATGAGTAGCAGTGGAAAAGCTGCAGAAAGAGTCAGGAGCCCTAGATTCCAGGGTTTTCCCTCCTTACTCCGAATTAGCATGGGGGTACCTCATTCAACTCTTTGTAATTTTTGAATGAATACATGAATAATATAATATTTATTTATCCTCATTTCATTTAGAAATGAATGCAGTTTCTTAATATGGGTGTTTTTTGTGTGGATATCAGCACATTTTATTCACTTGGTCATGTCATCATAAGTGTACCTCGGTGGCCTAGTGGTTAGGCTACCGGACTTGTAATCGTGAGGTTGCTGGTTCGGGAGTTCGAGCCGTGGGCCCGACGTTGTGTCCTTGGGAAAGGCACTTTACACGAATTTTCCTCACTTCACCCAGGTAGGAATGGGTACCTGGCCATATATGAGACAGTGAAAGAACTTGTCAGTATGTTAGTGTTTTAGTGCCGACCGCCTATAAATGGCCGCTTGCACTGTATGCTTCCCCGTAAGTTGAGGTTGTTTCAGAATTTTCTCAGGTCTGCTGGGGTAATAGTATGATTGTGAAGAGCAAAGAGCTTGCTGTTGAGCCGGGATTTGCGCTATACAAATGCTATCTATTCAGTGCTGATAATGAAAAAAGTCAAAAAAGAGGAAAATATTCCGCCCCCCTTGCAATCCCGAAATTCCAACATAGAACTTTAATACTAACTACAATAATATACAACATACATTTTCAGTGCTTCCACCAGTTGAAGCTGAGAAAAGTAAGGAAAATTCTTCCGGGGACAGGCCCCCAAAAGGGTCCACGGACAGAGTCCCGGTGGGGTTTCAGGGAGCGAAGCCCCCTTTAGAAATTGAAATTTAATGCTTTTAGAGGGTTAAAAATGGCATTTGGGAGCCTGTTTGAAGAGATTGCCTACAGCCCATAACATTTATTTGTTTGCCAACATTTTGTCTTATTTGATTTGATTTATTCACCTACATATCTTTCCATTGCTGGCAATGTTAAAAAGCAGGTTCCCCTTCCATTGCTACTATAATTCAATTAATTTGTCATCGCACGATTGATAGAAGGCAAACCTGGGAATAATGAATAGATATGCACCTTCACAATACAGTTACCCAGCGTATACCCTAATTTTCCACAATTTTCACTTCTGAATGTTGCATGTCACAACCTCGGAAAACAATGTCGAATTATTCTTGATTTTAGTAGTTTTAGCATAATTTATTTCATCGCGGCCCTTACCACGTTCCCGTGCCGTAGAATCTTCGCATTGATAATTTCTCAAGATCTAGACAATAAATTTGCAAACAAGTTTCTTTCTGACAATAATTTTCTGTCAAAGATCACAAGTCAATTTACTTGATCAACGCACATATGTGAGGCAGCGTGGTGGAATCAGGCTCTCGTCAAAATAATCAAAGTGACGAAACTTGCATTTTTCCGCAGATTTGTGAATTTTTATAAAATTTTTGTTTTTTGGCTCAACACCTTTCATGCCCAATAAAGAACTAATTTTTGTGTGGATTTTTCTGAAAAACGTTAATTAAAGGCCAAAAAATGTAAATTTTCTATTACCACGGACTCTTAAGCTAAGGAAATAACTCATCTTTGGCGGCCATTTTCTCACTAGTTTTACCTCTGAAAACAGGTGACCCCCACCCTTTCTTTTGCAAATATCTCAACTTGTATTCAAGATAAATGGATATTCTTTTCATCCAAATAAAGACAAGTGAACAAGCTTTAAGATGATACCAATAACTCTACATGCCAAAAAAAATTGACGAGAGCCTGATTCCACCACCCTGCCTCACATATACTTTTCTAATTATTACATGCATTTCATTGAAAACATCCCAAAAAATATGATTCACAGTCACAAGGAATATTCAAATTTCAAAGTTCGAATACTGCGTGGTACGGAGTGCAGGTTCGTTGTCACCAGAGTCATACTTGTCATCTTCCAGCACCCGTTCTTTATCAGAACTATCATCAAATACATCTAGCAGCGCATCAATCTCATATTAAGTTATATTTGTCCTTCTGGCGTAAATCGAAGAAAAATCAAGAGCAACGTGCAAGAGCTGTCAACAGAGATTTCCTAGATGACGAAACTGCGTAAACATACCGAAGCGAATGACTTCTAGAAAAAAAATCGGCTTCTAAGGCAAAGTTCAGCTTAATATGAGCTCAAATAATATTTTTTTGAGCACATCGTAAAATGGGAGCGAGTACGTCGATCTTCGGGGATTGATATCCTTATTTTGGAATCTTTGAGAATTAAGGGGGTATCATACAATCAGTAATAACAGACAGTTTTGGCCTCTGGCCAGCCTGAGGACTGATCGTAAGGCTGGTTCACCGATGGCCCTCATTACAAGCAAAGATCGAATTGAAAGCGGTCTGGATCACATGAGCACACACATGTGCGGGAAACCATCTACAAAGGGAAAAATCCCACCATATACTGACTTACTGATTAATTTCATCTATATAACACCATGAAGCTATGATGTAAATCAAATAAAATCTAAAAACTTACAACTTCACAAAAAAATGTTATAATATAACATAATTATTATTATTATGCCAAGCACAGGGAAATAAACGAAATGACAATTTTGTGACCATTATCAACACATTTACAAAAAAGGACATAATGATGTAACCTGAGTAAAAGTCACCAGTGAATCATTTTTTGACTAATTATAATTACACTGGTTCCGAATCTGTCATTATTTTGGAGATTGAATGTAGAAAAAGAACTTGGCCTTGACTTCATATATATATATATATATATATATATATATATATATATATATATATATATATATATATATATATATATATATATATATATATGCAACAGGATGATTGGACGGGTTCAAAAACAGCATGGTCGCTATGTCCGAATTACAAAGTTCTATCTGCTCAGTACATAGCTTAGAGAAATTTGACGTCAAAGATTTTGAGCTTCACATTATGACAAGCTTTTTCGAATGCAATTTTTTTAATATCTTGAAAACGACTCTGAATAATCTTACGATTTTGAAAGAAGAGGTAGAATATTTTGTTATTCATCTCATGGTCTTTGATCTAGCCTCAATCGTTGTGGAAAAATAATATGATTAAGTTAAGACAAATTGATACAAACTGCTGTGCAAATATGGGTGACATTGATTCTCCTGTTAAAGAGATATTTGAGGATAAGTTGCGTCACAAATTTTTGACCGCATTTGACTATAGTTACACAACACCTGCGTTCAAAAGTAGTCCAGTTGTAGGCCACTACTGTCGTTTTATTATGAATGCGGACAGGCGTATATACATGTAATGCGCTTGTGAATAAACTTTAATTCGCCTGTTTTTAGTTCACAACCCGACGTTCTGTCAAGTCTCTGTAGATTGCTTTGCTTTTAATCTACCTTTTCCAAGCTGTCGCATACTTTCTTTTTCCTTTCATGTTATTGTTATTGTCACTGAATGTGAGTTGATCTTGCGTCTTGCGCGCTATCAAGACTGTGCGCGTGCTCAGACATGTTCTGCATGCAGAAGTGAGTAAATTTCCAGCGTTTACGAATGTCATTAACTCGGGCTTATTTATTTTAGGTCGCAAAGCTTAAAAATAAATGTACTCACATTTGTACGCAGAAAACGCCAGAGCACACACACGATTATTTTTCTACAAAACATTTCCTTTGTATAAGTTTGTTTATCTCTCTCTGTCTTTCACGAACCCCTCCCCCTCTCTCTCTCTCTCTCTCTCTCACAC